TTGCTGACTGGTATCTTCGTCGTCGTTGCGTCGGTCTTCGTCAGGCGTCGTTGTGCTGCCACGCCCCCGCCTGGCAGAGGGCAATGAGCAGGTTCTGATCGGCGACTTTTCGCATCTGCCTCAGTCTTCCACCAGCCTGCGCGGTGCTTGGCAACGCGGGCGACGACCGAGCCGGTATATTTTTCGATGGCGTGAAAACCTTGAAGGACGATTGGCTAAATTTTACGGAGACTTTGGTGCGGTCTCCAATCCTCCTCGTTTCTCATCCGGGCTTGGGATCGGAAAACGCAGAGTTACTGTTTGCACACGACTTTTTATATTGCCATCTTACCTCTGACTTCTAGCGCTCCATCTAAAGGTCTGCCGCTGAGTGGGACGTTGAAATCATGTATGTGAATAGCAAAAACCTGGTGTTTGTTCCTTCTTTTGCGCATTGAGCTCTACAGATAGTCAGAGAAGTAGTGGAACAGATAGAGAAGTTCATGTACGTTGGTAGCATGTTTACTGGTGGTCGAGAATGGGAGAAGGACATTGACTGACGAATTGGAATGGCCTGCAACATTCTGCGTGAATTTGATTGAGCTGTTGTGATTAATGCAAATCTGAGTTTGAAGACCAAGTCGATTTTCGTCCTTCTCCTCATCCATGGTCATGATTCGTGGGTTGTGAGTGAAAAACTTGATCTCGGGTATAAGCGGCTGAAATTGGCTTTCTGAGAAAAATCGTCGGGCATGCGTGTCTCGACGTGATTCGGAGTCTGGACATCCAACAGAGCATTGGCATACGGTGGGTGCTTCTTCGGATCGAAATGTCGTGTTTGGGTGGTTTGGACACGTTTTAAGAACGCCTTCGAAACATAAAAGAAAGCAGCTACAAAGAGAAATTGCGCTACCAGCCAGCGGTAAGCAACGGGGAGAGTCAGAATGTGTTGGGGTGAGCAATTCAACATAGTCTGCTTCAAACTCAGATTAACTTTCAGTCGCTGGCGCATGATCTGGAATTTTGGAGACAGTATCTTCAACTGCTGACTCTACTACTTATAAGGATAAGCGGCTATTGAAACTTCCTGATAGGCTGGCCGCCTGGTTGGAAATGGTAGACATACATTTGCACTATATACTACTACAATCAAAAGTCACAAGGTCGGTTTTCAACGTCGCCGGCTTACGATGAACTGGTTCGAAGCTGTCATAAATTATGTGGTAAGAAAACTGAATCGAAAACAGAAATTGGTCAAATGAATTTTCCCTCACTCGTTCCTCGGTGTTCAGCCCTTTGCGACGCAATTCATGGTTTCAAAGCGTCAGATGAATGGTTTTCTGCAGAAACTTGCGGCTGGACCATTCGTAGACTGTGAAACTTATTAATAAGCGCTTTCGCCAGCTGTGAAGTGATCAAGGTGTGCCACAGGGTTGTGTTAATTCTTAAGTCTTGTTGGCAATCGCTCAGCAGAGGCTTGTAGATGCTCGGTGATACCTCACTGACGTACTGTAGGATCGTGATCGCTTCCATGCAGAGCTGTTTGAATGCCTATCTATATATCCAGTGAATAAGAGCAAGCATTTTTGCATGCTAATGCTTACATCGACCGTCATACGCTTTCATTCATGCCCACATTCTGCACATGAGTTTATTCATTGGCGAGCAGTGGCTAAAAATGGTCAGTCACTGGCCATTATGGAAGTAAAATGACTGATTACTGAAGCTTAGTATCCATATGCGGAACGGATACGTCAGTATTACAGTAAGACTTACGGAGTTGTGCAGCAAGCTGGACCGCAAGAGACTTCCTCCTACCCAATGGTCAGTGAATATAACGGCATCGTCATAGAAAAAGATTGGTTGCACAGACATGTCAAGGAAGCATTAATCACCCAGTCCTGCGACAGTGCTTGCCGCAATTAAAGTTAAAGGCTGTGCGTAGTCTTGATGTGCCTTGTCGCCGCTGCTTCGCAGAAATTATCTAACCAGCAGCATGTACCAAATGCTTTCCCTCTGGCTCTAAATCTATTGACCACTGCAGAGAACAAGAAACACCTCCGAAACTTTTCCAATTTTGTGCCCTGAAGAAGGCTCGTGAACTAAACCGGCGTGAACCGCAAAGTCAGAAGTCAGTGCTCATCAGTACCTCGACCGATTATATTACTATTTGCGTTGTGTGTCAATAAATGGTGCTTTGTGCTGCTTTTTAGTGCTACAATAAACGATATTTGGTCTTTACACAAAGCTGCTACTGCCGCCGATTACTAGACCGAGGCAGCCAAACTACTCAGCGTCTTCTTCTGGGATGGTCATATTTGCACTGCCTACTTCCAAAGTAAATGAATTCATTCACTGCCTTCACGATCTGGCCATCTACGTCATGCTTTGAACCGGTTCACCTGTAGCAAAGTTACAAAAAGTGAGATGATTTTCTCCAAAAATCGCAAACTGAACTTATTCAAACTGAACTTTACATCTTTTAAACACCATCGCTTCGTTGCTGTTGAGTTCGAGTCGCGCGGAAGCAGAACGATAACTCTTTCAAAATTTTGAGAGTTGTACATTTTGCTGATTTACTCATCTACTAACTGTGTTGAGTTGTATTGCAACCGCAAAGCATACATGCAAAATATAATGGTCGCAAGTCTGACTTACCATGAACCCTTCAGAATACAATGTTCACTTTATTCATCATAGGTCATCGGTTATCATACGTCATTTGCTAACTCATTTTTTAATAGCTTGAGGAAGTGCAAAATGAAGAGCATGAAGGATTCAGCACCAAGAAAAGAAATGGATTGTAGGAGTTTCTCCAAACGATTGGGCAATTTCGCAACTAATTTGACAGACGATTTATGTTTTTGCTTTTTTGCGAGATGAACATATAAACAGTGAACGAAATCTTAGAGCCTTTGAAATTCATTAGTTTGACAGAAATTTGACATTGTGCTGACGTAGAACTTCTCATAGATATATGACTTGCTGGGCTGGAAGTTGCGGTTGATGGAGATGACCTCGGTCCAATCATGTAGAATCAAACGCACGCCACAGGACTGCACGTTGGTAACGACGATCAATCCGCGTTGAAACGTCTCGCGTCGAAACGTCCCTCACCGAATTGTCATATACCGGCTTTTTCATACATGACACATGCTCCCACAGAATGCTTGCTTATTACGAAGTGAAGATTTGTTCAGAAAGAAGAGCATAATTTTTGCAGCAGCCAGCAAAGCGAATATAAATTAAGAAATTAGTAATGTCAAATCGGACTATACTCTGGAAAGCTCTGTTCGTCAGGTTCTATTTGCTTAGGATGTCGATGGTAACAAAATATTGCCGTTTATTGCTATTGTGATAGAAGTAATCAAGTAAGAGCAACACATAAACTAAAGCAACCTTACGAATGGATTTGATTCTGCTTCCTGATATCATTCTCGAAGCATTCATTAGTACGTTGGTTGACCAAGCAAAACTTCCGGATATGGCTGCTAATTTGTGTACTCTTTTCCCGACCTGGGGATTAAGGTACTTTTCCAACGATCGATATGTTGTCTGTCTCTTCACAACTCAGAATTTACATAATTTATTCTTCTTTGAACCAATAAGCGGGGTAGGGGCAATATCGCATTTGTTAAATATTATAAATGTTATATGGCAAATTGTTTTACGCCTTAGAGTGAGGATTCAAAAGTAAAGCGCGGTATGACTTTTTTTTCTGTTAACTGCTAATTCCCTTGAGCAAGGATCTCACCCCATTTTGCTTCACTGTAACTAGCAAAAAACGGGTAGCAGGTCGTTGGATTGTGAGTAACAGGGACAGTTATGGTGGGGCTATATTGAGTTTACGATATATAATGTCATGATGAGTAATGCGTGCGCTTTATGGCTGCAATTCGCTTCAACCCATCTTACAACTGATTAAAAATCAGCTAAAAGTCTCAAGGTAGATTTAAATTAAAAATTTAGCGATTAAAAATGGTCAGCGATTATATTCGATTATTTTTGCATGCTGGATTTTGAGCAAATCTAAACAAAGATAAAATCACTTGATTAGTATCATTGCAAGAGTGTTTTCTATTTGGGCTTTTTGACTATCTGCTGGACTGATGAGGTGG